GAGGAGGCCGGCGCCTGCGCCGTCATGGCCCTGGAGCGCGTCCCGGCAGACATCCGCAAGGATGGCGGCGTCGCCCGCATGTCCGACCCTGCCGTCATCAGGGAGATCCAGAATGCCGTCACCATCCCCGTCATGGCCAAGGCCCGCATCGGCCACTTTGTCGAGTGCCAGATTCTCGAGGCTCTCGGCGTCGACTACATTGACGAGAGCGAGGTCCTCACCCCGGCCGACAAGGTCTACCACGTCGAAAAGGCCGACTTCAAGGCCCCCTTCGTCTGCGGCTGCCGCAACCTCGGCGAGGCCCTGCGCAGAATCGCAGAGGGCGCCGCCATGATCCGCACAAAGGGCGAGGCCGGCACCGGCGACGTCGTCGAGGCCGTCACCCACGTCAAGCAGGTCACCAGAGACATTGCGCGCGCCAAGGGTGTTCTCGCGACCGAGGGCATCTTGGGCATCCGCGCCCTGGCGAGAGAGCTCGAGGTCGACCCTACGCTCCTCCAGCAGACGGCCGAGCTCGGCCGTCTCCCCGTCGTCAACTTTGCCGCCGGCGGCGTCGCCACACCCGCGGACGCGGCGCTGATGATGCAGCTCGGCTGCGACGGTGTCTTTGTCGGCAGCGGTATCTTCAAGTCTGGCGACCCGGCCAAGCGCGCCAAGGCCATCGTGAGAGCGACGACGCACTACAAGGACGCCAAGGTCCTCGCCGAGTGCAGTGAGGGACTTGGTGAGGCCATGGTCGGCATCAACTGCGACAGCTTGAAGACTGAGGAGAAGCTGGCCACCCGTGGGTGGTAAGCAGAGGTGCTGGGATGCTCAGGAGCTTAGACTGCTAGGTGGCAGCGTGTGTGTGAGATTTGGGATGTTCATATGGGTTCATGACTCTGCGATATGAAAAGCAGTGATTTTCTTTTTCAACCAAGACATGGAGGCATTGTGGCCGCATCAGCTAGCGAAGCCGAGGGAGTCCTTCTTCTACGGAGCATTTGGAAAAAACTGGGTATAATAAAGTCTACCTCGCATGAGGCTGAATCTTTGGTTATTCATTCTCTTTCGGTGATGTCTCAGAGTGACTCGCTGTAATTCCATGAGCAAAGAGCACGCACCCATCCCCGGTGTCTACCACACTATCTTCATGACTCTGGTTTAAGGTTTCTGACACGTTCTATGCAGACGAGGAATTGTTCTAGAACTTTCAATTGTAAATGATCACACAACCTCAACCAAGACTTCGCGACGAACAGCTCCGGCTTCATAGCAGCACCACTTTGGAGTGGACCTCGAAGATAGTGGCGGACATAGCTCAGTTGGGAGAGCGTCAGACTGAAGTGGGTTCCAAACCCTAGAAACTTCATTCAATCAATCTGAAGGTCGTGTGTTCAATCCACACTGGCCGCAACTTCACATTTTGCTCAGGGCGTGCGCACTTCATTTTGTGTTGATGTTGTGTTTTATGGCGTCCTTGCTGGTTTGATGTCTTTTTCCTTTTAATGTATTCTTGAATATGTGACCATAAAGTAAGTAGCGGAGTCAGATATTGAGTTGGCTCATGAGATAACGAAGTGCATCATCCATCATGTTTCTTGCCGCTTTGTGAACAAAGGTCAAACTCTCGCCGCTGATCTTACTCATCATCAACTCCCTTTCTTTCTTTCATACTGAGTGAAGCATTGATCAAGCTCGTGATTTAGGTTTCCAACTTGACCATAATACAATTAGTTCTTCGGTTGAGTATACTGCTTGCAGTGGATAGACTAGATATGAGTGCTGCTTCACCTTCATGCTTACAATTACCTAGGACCACCTAGGATCACTCTCTCATCTTTACACGCCCTCAGTATATTCTTGAGTCCCCTTTTTGGTTGATCCCTTAGGGCGCCTACTGGATTCCTCAAGAGAACACTAATCTACCTCTCAGAATGGAGTCATATTGACCAAAATACCTCAAGCTTGTCCATCTTCACCAAAGATCGGCGATGTTACTTTACCGTCTTTCTGTAGAAGCTACCTATCTAGACAACATTCACCGACGCAAAGTCTCTTCTCCAGTGTCGCCCATGACGTTTTTCGGGCCCCCGAGTTGGATCGTCACGAAGATGAAGCAAGCCAAAGAACGCCCAGCATGTGGCACGGCAATTCTGCACGGGTTGGTTCTTCAGGAAACACCTTGTTGTAAGCATCAGATTGGACTGCCTGACTTAACCACATTGAGTTGAACGTGGCTTTAAGCATTTCGCCCACGTAGTGAAGCTCCGAAAGAAAGCACGTTTCGTCTTTGACAGCAACGAGGGGTAATACAAGCAGCTCACGAGATTCCATTCAGGAACCAGAAGCCTCAATCTTCCACACAGAGGTGTGTCCTCAGACAAGACCTCTCCATCGGACGATCCCAGCATACATCTCAGATCCAACAAGTGGCAGCAAGTAGGCCAAGCGCTCTCCCCTGGCGGCGTTGCACCGTGTCTAACAAGTTCATGTAGTGAGAAAAGACGAAATAACGCCTTTCCCGTCAACATGGCTGTGGGACGCCCTGGCTAATAACTAACAACTGTCGACCAGGCCCAAGCTCTTCTCAAATCCATTTGGAATCTTGGGAGGGGGTGAAGTCTACCCATCTAGGGCTGAGAACAAAGACATTGAGAGAAAAGTGCTCAAGAATGGCCAGGAATGGATTTATGGCGCGGGGGTGAGCACACTTGTTTAGTTCCCGAAGGCTTAAAAATACCTAAAAGGCTTAACAATCCCTCGGGACCACCGATATTCTTTGAAGCCCAACAAGTCCGGTTTGAAGTCCGGCTGCCCGCTTGGGAAGCAAGTGGAATAGTAGATTCCTGTTCTGTCCTGCCCTGTTCAGCCTGTCTGTCTGCTTGTTATTCTAGAGAGAAAATCGCAAGGCGCGTACTCTCTGGTGACAATGTCTCAGCCAACATCGAGATGCTCAAAATAGCGCGTCTATGCCTTGGAAATGTTGGAACTTTTGGTGTTTTTGAATCTTGATTACATTTGTGAACCAGGAGCGCCGTGCGCCTTGTCCATGGTTCCAACCCTGATGAGGATTCGCTATGCGGAGTGTTATGTTTACAGATATATTACAGCATCTTGTACAAGCAGCCTCGCCTCTCTCTCAGGCCTTGGCAGCAGTTATCCATCACCATTATACTATACACCGGGAGTCCTAGTATCGCGCACTACCTCTGCGCTCCCTGAGGCTATGGCGGACCCTTCGCGCGTAACGCGCCACCCTAGATTTGACATCGAGATTGTAGCCTGGCATGGTGCCAACAGCCTGGGAGAAGACCCCCAGCTTGCCGCCACGGAACGAGTCTAGGGCCAGCTCAATGGTATCGATGAGGCGCAGCGTCTGCATGTCGTAGAAGAGACCGGCGAACTGCATCTCGTCCAGCACGGCGAGCACAGCCTGTGTGTCACCGTGGCGGTACCAGAGGATAGAGGCCAGCTCGTTGTAGAATGGCGTAGAGACGCCGAGGACATACGAGGCCAGGCCGAGCTCCTTAATCCGCGGGAGGACGTTCAACGCCAGTGGGGAGGAGTGCGCAAAGGACTGGTCGAGCGTCTTGAGGCCCTGCAGGAGGTGCATGGAGTACAGCGGACCATGGGAGTCCATGCTGAGGGCGTCTGGCTGGGCCTTTTTGGACGACTTCTTGTGCAATGAGGGCTTGGCCTTCTTTTCCGGATCCGGCTGGCGCTGCTTGCCCTCAGAGATACCCAGCCTTGCGACCATGGAGAAGACGTCGCGTTCCAAAACGTTCCAGACCTCAACGTCTGTGTTGCACTGGTCCAGAAGGGCCTGTAGACGAACAGCTTCTTGAGCGCGGGCGTCCCTGCGCGCAGCTTCGAGCTTGGCGGCTTCTTCCAGGTCTGATTCGAGCTCCTCTTCCGGCTTGAAGGAAATGCGCGACGAGGTCAGCTGGTCGCCTTGCACCTGGCGCATTCCAAGCGCGACCTCAGCCGCGCGGCGCAGAGCAGGGGGGTATTTTCGCAGGATGGCATCGCGAGATCCGGACTCGTGTTCGGGTTCGACTTGCGAGGAGGAGGAGGCGGCGTCGTCTGCAGCAGCCTGTGGCGGGACCTGGCCGCCACGCTTCGCAATATCGTCAAAGATTGCACGGAAAACTTGTCTCTCGGTCGGAGTAATGGTGGACTTTCTCTCGCCGTCTGGGCCGCTGGGGATATCCGTTCGCTCTTGGGCAGGGCTGTCCCATTCGAAGGGGATGCTCTGTTCGCCGCGGCTTCGGGGGTGGGCGTGGAGCCGGCCTGCGGTTGTCGAGAGGGATCGAACAGAGACGGAGGCCCTTAGGATTGTCCTCGTTTGGTAGAGAAAGGGCGTCAATGTTGTAGCCATTGTGTGCGTGTGTTGTATGGTTGGAAGCGCAAGCTATGCACTTCACTTTGCGATGGTCAAAAGTTGCGTATCTGCCGACGCAACAAAATTTCCATCCAAAGATCCAACAGGGGAAGCTCGGGCCATGCAGGGACTGACAACCGACAGGGGCGTGACAGGGTGCTGTTGGCTGACGTAATAGACATTAAACCCCCTGCAACCGCCGGGAACCTCGACGCGTTGCGACGCGCTTTCAATTAGGCAGGTTCGCCTCCACCGCGCTCCTTCCGTCGTGATTTACTCCTTCTGAATTGCCTCTTTTCTCTTTCCACTAATACTGCCATTATTTCCAACTTTCTTTTGGCTTCACAACTCCCACATCTGGCTCAGGGTTGTAATTCATTTAGGTCAGACACAAGTTCGGTATTGCAATCGCATTCCCTGAGTTGCAATTCTCACAGTACGTCACAAGACTTCCTCTTCAATACCACTTCAACCTGCTTAACATTGAGAACAGCCCTACTCTGAACGACCACGAACACCGCCTGATACGCCCTCGCATACCGAGTCCCCGAATCAACCACTTTATATCCGGGTCTATTACCACCAGATCGCATACGTTTACCTCTTCCTGTTCACACCCATCCCGGAAACCGCAACCATGGCCCGCACCAAGGTCAAAGCCGAGGAGGAGCAGGGGATGAGTGCATTCGAGAAGATGCGCCTCGCAAACATTGCGAAGAACAAGACCATGTTGGACGACTTGGCCAAGGCTTCGAATAAGATCATGCCTTCCAAGCCCAAACCAGCACCAAAGTCTCGGTCGACTCCAGTAAAGAAGGAGCCTGTCGCTCCCACTGGCCCGGTCCGTCGCAGTGCTCGCGTTGCAGGCTTCGACGCCGACAACGAGACCCTGAAGCGCAAGTACGAGGTCGAGGTTGAAGAAAAGGCTGCCCAAGAAAAGGCCAAAAAGACGAGGATCGGTGGCAACCTTAGTCTGGGAGACATCGCCGTCGACGGCAAGAAGTTCAACAACGGAATCACCGGATTGAGCGCACTGGTCCCTCGGGGAGCCCAGCCCGGCGTCCCCACATTCACGGATGAAGACGTGGAGAACACGTCTGATAAGGACCTGAAGGATCTGCGCAAGAAGATGGGCAAGTTGGAGCTCTATGAGAAATGGAGCCCGCAAGGTACGTCAGGCATGGTGTGTTTATCTTTGGTTGTAGTTGCTCACATAGTCCCAGACATCAAGATTTGTCCCTTGCGCATCTACGCTGCCACTTTCCATCCTACAGAGGACAAACCCCTGGTATTCGCCGGTGATAAGGAAGGCGCTCTAGGTGTTTTCGACGCCTCTCAGGATGGCCCCCCGGAGAACGATGATGACGAAGACGCCTGGTTTGACCCCAAGATTGGTGCCTACAAAATCCACACTAGAACTATCACAACCATCATCGTTTCTCCGTTCGAGCAGCAAAAGGTTTACACGTCCTCATACGACTCTACCGTCCGTGTGCTAGATTTAGAAAAGGACGTTTGTTTGCCCGTCTGGGAGCCCGAGGACAAGAATGAAGATATCCCCCTGTCTGCCATTGATATCCCTCTAACAGATAAGAACATTATCTATTTCTCCACTCTCAACGGCGCCGTTGGAAAGGTCGACATCCGCGACCCCAAGTCCACAGAGATGTGGCAGTTGTCCGACAACAAGATTGGAGGCTTCTCTTTGAACCCGCGCGAGCCACACCTTCTTACCACGGCGTCTCTCGACAGAACGGTCAAGATCTGGGATTTGCGGAAGGTCACCGGCAAGGGAGATATGAGACACCCTGCCATGCTCTATGAGCACAACTCCCGCCTATCAGTCTCTCACGCGTCATGGAGTCCCGGCGGCCACATTGCCACGTCTTCCTACGATGACACAGTCAAGATTTACGACTGGGCAGATCATACCGACTGGGACAAGTCTACCGAGATGGAGCCGAAGCATATTGTAAAGCACAACAATCAGACTGGCCGTTGGGTGACCATCCTCAAGCCCCAGTGGCAAAAGCGCCCGAAGGATGGCATCCAGAAGTTCGTGATTGGGAACATGAACCGTTTCGTCGACGTGTACGCCGCCAATGGCGAGCAACTTGCGCAGTTAGGTGGAGACGGCATCTCGGCTGTCCCCGCTGTCGCTCACTTCCATCCGACGATGGACTGGGTGGCCGGTGGTACGGCAAGTGGAAAGCTGTGCTTGTGGCAGTAAGCCTGGAGGTATAGATGCGGGACCGCTGGGATTTCGTGTACATTGGATGGCCTTCTTGGCGCCGGGGAGGAACAGGAGTTGGCATGTCATTTTGCGCGGCGTTAGGGGACAGGAGGTCATTACTGCTGTGGCGGATACTTCAGGCCGCCAACAATATAAATATTTTCTGGAGGGTTCCGGAAGATGGTATACTTGAGCTTGTCTACGATCCAGTATATAGGCAGACGCCGTCAGCCCTATGCGGTTACGGTGGTCAGGGTAGTCCTGAACGCTGTTATGCGGCTTGGAAACCGTCTATAAGATCTCGGCCAGGTGTTGTTTGGATAACGCTGGGGCATTTCGGGAAAAAGAATTGGATAAAAGAGTTTTTGTTTACATTGCTTTGACTGGTGACCGTTTGCCGTTGAACAGACTGCCTGCCCGCCATAAAGGTGCATATCCGCAGTACCCATTTGTGTCATGATGTGACAGCCCAGGAGTGAAAGCAATACACACCCGTATCTCATTATCGTTGAAGACACAAGGAAACAAAAGGCGAATTGTCGAAAATAATATGGAAAACAGCCCGTCTGGATGAAGTACTGGATGGGTGAAGCTGTCTTGGGTGGGACATGGCCACTGTTTCAAGCATTCGCTGCTTGCTACCTACGAAGGTGGTAGGCACTACGATCCTGTGGGGAGAGGTATCAGGAGGCCCACAGTATACCCAACAGACTTTATCCTTGGTCTTGATCAGTCTTCTATAATGGGCCTTAGTACTCAGGTTGGTCGTGCAGTTTCAACAAGTGATCAGTCATGCTGCTGCGGGACGTAGTTGGCAGAGGTCTGCTTCCTTTCGCGGCCTTCATCATACTTCCTCTTATCAATGCACGGAAGTCTTGTTTCTGGTATTATGGAATTCAAGACGGATCTCAGAGCCTGATTGAAGTTGGAATGGTGACTTGTCCAGCCAGCCTTTGGCTTTCCACTGCGTGATTATTTGTGAAACTTCGGAATGGTGAGTAGGAGCCTGGGTCATCGCTAGTATCTGGTTTTCAAGAATTGTCTGTAGTTTACAAGTATGAAGATGAATTCTATTGTACTTGAGACGATTCTTGCCCATTAAAACATATCTCAGACGTAAATTGGCGTTGTATCGATTTTTCCCGTGTACTTCACGTAGGTTCTAATTTGAAGCTACATTGAGCAAATTGCTTTGTGTCAGTTACCACCACGACAAAATCCTCTATAAGTATAAATAGTTGATCATGCGTTATATGTCTACAAATGAAGGCATATCAAACGGACCTCCTTGATGGAAAAGTTGTATTGTTGATCGTCTTCATGCTGCTCAGAACTCACTTGCGCCTTAAACCACCCGGTAAGCATCGTAGATGACCGTGGCTCCCAGCCGAGCACCACTACCAACCCACATGGCAGTGTTGACGATATCCTTGTACCTCTCATCTCCCGTCTCCATCTTGACATTCAACCGGAAGCTGTACTCGGAGGGCTTGACATCATTCGCCCTAGCCGGATCAAACAACCTCTCCATGACCTCCCTCGGTCCAGTCCGCCACCCCGTCGTCTTTACAGTAATGTAAGCCGGCGTCTCGTCATCCGTCTTGAGCAGGTACGACGTCTCGACGGCAGTGCTGAGGGTCTCGTTGACGACAATCTGGCTGTCCTGCCCGCCGGCGACAACAGTGCCGGTGCCCCACTTGGCCGAGAAGGCGCCCCCGGAAAAGGAAATCCAGTTCCGCTGGCCGAACGGACCAACGCCAACGGGGATGAGCGGGTTGAGGTCAACGACGATGCGGAAGTCGAGGTCGAGGGTTGGAACGGGGAGGGGGAAGGCGGCGGATGTGCGGTTTTCTGGGAGATTACTCTCGTTGAAGGGGGGGCTTTGTTGCGACGAGGGACTGGCAGAAGTTAGTGATTGTAGCTTGTTGTTCCTGCGAGCCTTGAGATTCTTCATCATGAGATAGAAAGAAAAAGGCAGTCACCTACGCCAAACAGGCTAAGAAGGTGAGCAAGGTGAGCAGTGCGTGAGGGGATCTGAGATACCTCATGCTGGGCTAGATCTCGAGGTAAACCGTTAAGATACGCTTTGGTGGTCCGTGGTATTCAAAGTGAGAGGAGGCCCGAGATTTACAGCGGTGATGAAAAGTTTGAGACGGAGGACAGACACTCAGTGCTCAGCGAAAATGTGGAATGATGTCAAGAAACGGATCGAGTTCTATATACTGCGCAACGTCGTCACTTCCCGTCTCCCCCTCTCGCGCGGGTGTTGATGCCCCGCCCCCGCAGTAGGATTCGGCGATGGTGACCGGCATTTCGGGTCCGGGTCTCGGCTTCAGTCAAGCTCTGCGATCGTGCACGTTGGTGTCGTGACTACTTCAAGACGGACTGCTGCTAGCCATTTCCATGGATTATTCTTGCATGAGGATGACGGAAGCTGTCAAGCCCAAGCACTGCGGTAGAGTATCGCGTTCCGCCATTTGCGACTACGCCTGCGGTTCATCTCTGGCACCGCTTCAATGGGATCAAGTGTTGCTGGAAGGCTGGAAGCTATTAGGAAGGAAGTGAAAGCAAGAAACACATGATCCATGGCAGTGAAGCTTTTCGTATAATAATTGAGTGATTTTTAGGTCGGATTTGAAGTGAGACGTGAGATACAGTGGTGGCATTGTTGTTGACCTCAGCCCACTGCGTAAGGCTTAGAGGCAATTATCGAGCAAGGCAAACGACGCAATGGAGAATAAGTACGTTGCGATGAAGATGCAATGAAATATCAAGATGCTTATATGGATGCGACTTGTTTGGGTTAATTTTCTATTTTGCAATCATCTAAATTTAACATGAATATGATGTTGTTGTCAAGGGAGAACACCTCAAGTGAGGGCTACAGGCCCATGGCGAATCTTTCATGAAAACTCTTGTCAAACAATAAACATTGAAATTTGACGACATTGACTGGTTTCTGCTCCGTTTGGTTGTTTTTCTCAGTCAAAGCTTGAGCGGCTCTCAACAAAAGAGGGGACTTGATATGGGGCAGATCTGGGATGCCCCCGCGACGCGAATCTGAGTGCTTGGGCAGATGCTCATGCTAGAGAGTGTCGTTTGCGGTCACTCTGGGCTGATGTCATTTTAGGCTTGGTCCCCTCATTCTCACCTTGATTTTGGGTCTGTGTGTGAGTCTGAGCCTACGTGAGTGACGGCAGCTATGGACTGTGTTTGGCCTCAGAACAGTAGATATCAACGTGTTGTGAAGGCGAATAATGAGTGGTCTCGATATTCATCTGCTGATGCAGACTATACACAGTACTGTGTGCCTCGGGTCTGGCGGGAGCGAGGTCAGGCTGGCGGCGCTGGACCGGAGTGGTCGGCTCACATGGCAATCCATGTCTTTTGTCAAGATCTTGTGATGGGACCCGGATGGGGCACTTTGGCGTCATGGGAGTGACTTATCGATAAGAGAGCTTAATCTGAGGCCAATGAGAGGGGTGGGATATGTCCGGGATCCACAGGGGACTTGGTTGCAGTCACTCGTAAGGTACCTAAGGTATGTACTTGTGGGCCCCCACGGCGCCTTCCTTTCCTTTTCCTTTCTTCTGTTGCCTCTCATCTCTCATCCTGCTCATCTCACTCTCACATCTGTAAAGAGACCTGAGGAGCGAGAAGCGGAGATGAGATACAACATATCCTTCCTGCCTAGTCTATGGCCAGTCATAGACGACAACTGGGTAAGCAGAGGCAGAAACAGGCAGGGGCCACTCCTACATGGGCCATCACAAGCTTCATGCAATCAGACATTGGAGCGACCAAAGATGAACCCACTCCGTCCAAGACACCGGTCCAATGGGAAAGTAAACAGAGAGAAAACGAGAGGAATGACTGGACCCCTGAGAAAAGAACCCATGCATCCCAGGTCCACAAGGTACGGGTACATACATTGCGGATAGAGAGGAGGAAATGCGCGTACTTTTGGCGCAGCATCGCGTGCAGCTGCGCACAGAACTTGGGGGAGTCCAGCTGCTGCTTAGGTGCTGCTAGTGCACTTCCGAAAGACAATACTGCGTAGAGCAAGTGAGACTGTGAGAGAATGAGTCTCTGACTCTCTCTCGAGACACTCTCATTCTACCTGAAGAGGCCTGGCTGCTCCCGGTTATCTCGACTGTCTACTTACCATATGAATACTTGAGGTAGCTTCAAGGGTGAATGCAACGGAACCGAACTGCCTAACAAATACCTTACTTAGTACATACTCAGTACTCCGTAGATGGCTGTGAATTGCCGCCTTTTCCCCCTTGCCATTTGAGCCATCCGACAATTGTATCCCAGTCCCCGTCTTTTCCGGGGTTCAGGCGCAGCAATAACCTTTGTTCAACTGTTGCATTTCCTATCTGATCAGCGAGGTGCCTACTTCCTAGTAAGTAATCTGCAGGCCTCATTGTCATTGCTTTGCACTTTCTTCTCTATGTACGGAGTACTACCTACTACTAGCTAATAAGTACCCAAGGAGCAAAGTACCTTACCTTCTCTGCCTTACCTAACCCTTTTGACTCTGGTCTTTGTGCCACACTCCTCAACTTCTGTTGTCTCTCTCTTACACAGTACATTCTTCAAGGTTGTCGCCGTGTCTCTCTGGCTGCCTTTCCGTCTTCATCCCAAACCAACGGCCCAACCCACGGATACCCTTCTTACCTCACCTTGCTTACTTCGCTACCTTGCTCACCTTACCTGACCATTCACTCTGTACTTTATCGTCATAAGACTTTGGGCCCGGCCTGCCTCGTCTTTTAGTCCGTAACCCTCCCGCGACCTCGAACCTTATCGTCATCGCCCGAATGAACCCGCTGTAGCCAGACGACTCTTCCTCCACCCTCCCACCCTCCTTTCCGCAGTGCGTCGCTTCCGCTGCCGCAGCGTCGTCTACTTCGCTTTCGTCCTTCCCCGCCTCTCCACCATCCGTGCCGCCCGGACAAAGAGATTGTAAACATACCCAAAGCCCTACCTCG